AAAGATGTATTTACACCTAAAATGCAAGGTATCGTTTTTCTTGTTAATCTGCAGCAAGGTTTTCCTTTCTTTTTTCTTTTATTTTTTTAAAGAGATTTATTTATTATTTATACAGTATTCTGCCTACCTGTGTGTCTGCAAGTCAGAAGAGGGCACCAGATTATGATGGTTATAAACCACCATGTGGTTGGTGGGAATTGAACTAAGGACCTTTGGAAGAACAGCCAGTGCTCTAAACCTCTGAGTCATCTCTCCCGGCCTTCTTTTTTAATTTAGAAAGGGTTTTTATTATAAGATTATAGGTAGAAGCTTAAGAGAAAGAAAACCTTTATACAGTAGGAGCAGGTTGAAGAAACAGGGAATTTTTTTTTTTTTTTTTACCTAAAATTTTGTTTTATGAGATGGAGAGATGACTTAGCAGTTAAGAACACTTGCTGCTGTTACAAAGGACTTCATTTTCCTTCCCAGAACCTACACAGTGGCTCACAATCATCTGTAATTCCAGTTCCAGAGGATCCGATGTCCTCTTCTGACCTCCACAGTACCAGGGACACACATGGTGCACAAACATACGTGAAGGCAAAGTACTCATACACATAAAATACAACAAAAAAAAATCTTTTCTTTTGTGTGTGTGGGGGTTCAACACAGGGTTTCTCTGTGTAGCCCTTGCTAGCCTAGAACTCTCTCTGTAGGCCAGGGTGGCCTCCAACACAGATCTGATTGCCTCTGCTCAGCAAGTGCTGGGACTAAAGGTGTGAGTCACCGTGCCCAAACAACAAATATTTTTAAAGATATTTAAAATTTTATTTTTTTCTTTTTTTGTTTTTGTGCCAAGTGCATATGGCCCTTAGAGAGGATGCTGGAACTATAGAAATAGTTTTCTACAAGACAGGATCTTGGGCTGGAAAGATGGCTTAGAGGTTAAGAGCACTGACTGCTCTTCCAAAGGTCCTGAGTTCAAATCCCAGCAACCACATGGTGGCTCACAACTATTTATAATGAGATCTGTTACCCTCTTCTGGCCTACAGGTACACTGTAGAAACTCTCTCCTTGTTTATTCAAATGCTGATTTTTGCGATCCCACTATCTGGTTTCAGTCCCAACATGGCATCGTTATGTTTATTCTAAAAATCTCCTGTCTCAAGTTTGTATAAACATGTTCACCATTCACTCTCTGCTTTGCCAAAACAAAACTAGCTAACCAGTAGCTGGGCATCAGAGAGATTAGGGTGGGAGGTTGGGACTTCCATTTCCCCTGAAGGGAGGAGAAACTAGGAGGAGAGGGGAGTTGGAGTAGGAGAGAGATCCAGGAGGCATTGTTAGTTATTATTAAAAGAAATGGGGCTGGGTCAACTGATCTTCTATGCCAGAGTGCCACGGACCGGCCCAGTTGGGCTCCCGTCGTCCGAGGGAGAACAAGGCTTTGGACAGGAAGACACGGTTTTGGTAAAGAATTGACAGACAGAGACACCTTGATGGTTTTGACTCTGCTGCAACTTTACTGAAGTCAAGCTAGTATTTTTATAGTGATCTCACAAGGAAGCACCTTAAAATTGGCATGCTTTCCAGAACATTCAGACTTTAACCAAGGATACAAAGTTTATGTTTTAACATAGGGCAGTGCCCACGAGAAATCTTTGCCTAGAAACTTTCTGATCAACGCAAACAAAAAACAAAAATCTCAAACTATGATTTCATTATCACTGACTAGTGAAGAGGAAAGTCAGGAGCTGTAATAGTCCTCCGAGCCAAGTCGAATACCTGCCAAAGTCTAAACACACCTTTGTCAACCATCCTCCCTTATGTCCTGCTAAAGATTTATGATCTTCCTTAGAAACAAGGCACTGAAGGGAGGGGTAACTCCCGCCAGCTGCACCTCTCATGCTATTTTTTCTTAAGAAGGAGCCTATTATTTTTTCACTATTCTTAATGCCTATTAATACTAAATCTAATTCATTACTTTTCTTAAACGTATTATTTTTATTAAAGCCTTTAACAATCTACTAATAATAAATTTCTTTATAAAGTTAGTTGTGCTGTTTTAGGAGTCACAGAGAAAGATCAAAGAATTCATTATTCCAGCCCCAGAGCCACAACTGAAGAAGCGTAGAAATCTCAGAATGTGTCTCTTTTCCAAGTGGGATGAGTCTGCCAGGACCTTCCAGGGGGCAAATTTCCGGAGAAAGCGTGCCTCCCACCCTGTAGCATATGCTACTATGGCGACACTGGCGTAGGTGTAGCACCAGAGGTTTATTAAGTGGGTAAGGAGGGAGTGAGAGAACAGGACATGGTGAGGAGAGAGAAAGAAAGAGAAAGGGGGGCCCCTGAGAAAGAGAGAGAGAGTAAGAGAGTGAGAGAGCATGAGAGAAAGAGAGAAAGAGTAAGAGAGAGACCACGTGTCGGGGTCATCCCTTTAAGGGGCAAGGTAACCACGCCTTCCAGGGCTGGCCACCTGGCCGTCTACACATGATGACATCATAAGTTGCTGGCTAACCCAGGAGCAGGTTATGTTCCAAAATACTAACAGGTATGATGTGAAAGGACCAATTCCAGAGAAGATAATAAATGCAAGTATTGGGGACTTCAGATGGGAGGAAGATAGATTAGCAATGGGGCAGATGATTAGATTTTATACTCAGCTTTGTGCTTAGCTTTTTTAATAAATCATTTTTATTTAGCTTTATTCAGATTGTGCCTGTGCCCTGACTTTCCCTCTTGGAGTGAGAAACTATTTAGGTTGCTTTTTGATTTTATAGAAACTGCAGTTTACAGAAAACTGCAGTTATGAGACTTTGGATATTTTAAAGAAACTTAATCTTGTAAAGAGACATTAGGTTTTTAAAATATTGAGAACTGCTTCAGCCTTTAGCATAACACAATTGTAGCTGTTTTCTTTTTAGTCTCCTTATTGATTATAAGATGAAATTAAGTTCAGGTTTTCAGGCTCTGCCTTCCAATGATTATGTCTCTATGGTTTCATTTCTCACACTTTGTATACTTTGTTACCTGGATACCCTGTAAAGTCCCCCAACTGCAAAGTCAAATTAAAGGTCACTTAGAAACCTTTCTCTAACTGAAAGACCCCTGCCTCACCCTAAGTTAAACATAGCTAACGCCATTTTGTGAGACACCACTGTTTTGTAAAACTCTGAAGGCCAGATGAGAAACTGGAAAATTACTGAGAAACCTAGCTGTGTCACCCACTTGGGATATCTGTGGTCAGGCTGCCCCTGTTGAGTTAAAAACAACTTGTTGTGACTACCCTCATGGGATATCTGTCAGAGATTGTTCCAGCTGAGATAGGGAAAAACAAAATAACAGGTGGCCACGTTAAGGGGTGGTCATCATGACCCTTTTGACCACCCAGTTCTGGAATCTTGGTGTCCCTGCCAAACTTTGACGCAAACCGTGGTCTCATGTAAACGTACCAATCAGCCCCCTGTAACCATGCTTCTCGCTTCTGTACCCACGCTTCTGCTCTAAAACCCTATAAAAACCCCAGCTTTCCACCCAGGGGGCGCGCAAAAGTCATCCGAATGACTTTTCGCCCCGGGTACCCGAGTATCCAATAAAAGCCTCTTGCTGTTTGCATCCGAATGCCTGGACTCGTTGATCCTTGGGCAGGGGTCTCTCAGACGAAAGATACCCTCCGGGGATCTTTCATTTGGAGGCCCCAGCGAGATCTGAGACCCCCCCCACCCAGGGACCACCGACCCACCTTCGGGAGGTAAGCTGGCCAGCCGTCTTCTCTGCTGTATGTATCTGTCTTGTCTGTTGTGTGCTTCTGTGTCTGTTCTGTTTGCAATCTGAGACTTGATCAGGTCATCTGAATCAGGCGGAAAGTAAGAAGGGGTTGACGGACCTGGACTTCTGTTCCGCTAGCCCGGGGAGACATCCCAGGGTGAGAGGGTCTGAGTGGGTTCGAGTCCCACCGGCTCTCATCTGAGAGCGTCTGAGTGGGTTCGAGTCCCACCGGCTCTCATCTGAGAGGGTCTGAGTGGGTTCGAGTCCCACTGGCTCTCATCTGAGCAGGAGCCAATTTTTGGCTCCCCATCTGTTTGAAAGAACGAGCCGACTCGGACTTTTCGGGGCCTCGCCCCTGTTCGAAGGCTACGTGTTCCATCTAGAGGATGGAGGAAGAACTAGACCTCCTCCACAGTCTCCATCTGAATTTTTACTTTCGGTTTTGCGCTGATCTCGTGCCGCGTGGCTTGTGTTGTGTTCTGTCTGTCTAGTTGTGGTAATAAGTGTGATAAGTGTTTTCTATCTATCTGAAAATATGGGACAAACTGTCTCTACCTCCAAAAGTTTAACTTTACAACACTTCAAGGAAGTCCGTGACATCGCCCACAATCTCTCAGTGGAAGTGCGAAAAGGAAAATGAGACACCTTTTGTTCATCTGAGTGGCCAACCTTTGACGTGGGCTGGCCACGAGATGGCACCTTTAACCTAGAAGTTATTTTGCAGGTGAAAGCAAAAGTCATGGACCCTGGACCCCATGGACATCCTGACCAGATTCCCTATATCATCACGTGGGAATCTCTGGTCAAAGATCCCCCATCATGGGTAAAGCCTTTCCTTCCCCCTTGCTCAAAACCCACACCGTCTGCTCCCTCCCTTCCTCCTCCACTGATTCCGACCCCGGTTAACTCTGCCCTTTACCCGGCCCTCACAAAATCGGTACCGGCGGAGACCTCCGGGCGTAAAAAGATACCTCCGTTGCTGCCGGCAGATGATGGCCCCCTTCTGGACCTTCTAACTGAACAACCACCCCCTTACCGGGGCCCAGCCCCCGCTCCTGAACAACAGGGAGGGGCCGCCGGGCAGGAGTCACCGGAAAAACCCGCCTCATCTCCGGTGGCAGGGCGGTTGAGGGGGCGCCGGGAGGTCCCTTCCGGTTCCTCCTCTCAGGCTCTTCCGTTGCGGACGGGGCCTGACCGCCAACTCCAATACTGGCCCTTTTCCGCCTCTGACTTATATAATTAAAAAAATAATAACCCCCCTTTCTCAAAGGACCCGTCCAGGTTAACAGCCCTCATTGAGTCCATTCTAGTGACTCACCAGCCCACCTGGGATGACTGCCAGCAGCTGCTCCAGACGCTGCTGACTACTGAGAAAAAACAACGAGTCATCTTGGAAGCCCGCAAACATGTTCTGGGAGATGACGGGCTACCTACCCAACTGCCCGATAGAATTGACGCTGCCATCCCCCTGGAACAACCCAACTGGGATTTCTCCACCGAGCGCGGTAGGGAACACCTACGTCTTTATCGCCAGTTGCTCTTAGCGGGTCTCCGAGGGGCTGCAAGACGCCCTACCAATTTGGCCCAGGTTAAGTTAGTGACTCAAAAGCCAGAGGAATCCCCCACTGCTTTCCTGAAGCGACTTAAGGAGGCATACCGTATGTACACTCCCTATGATCCAGAGAGCCCAGATCAGGCAACCAACGTGGCCATGTCTTTCATTTGGCAGTCCGCCCCAGATATCAGAAAAAAGTTAAAAAGACTAAAAAACTTAAGAGAAAGTTCAGTACAGGACTTGTTAAAAGAGGCAGAGCGGATTTTTAACAAGAGGGAAACACAGGAAGAAAGAGATGAGAGGCTGAGAAAAAAAGCAGAGGAAAGAAAAAATATGAGAGAACGTAAGAGGAATAGAGAATTCAGTAAGTTGTTGGCCACCGTAGTGACAGGTCAGAGACAGAATAGACAGGACCTGGGAGACCGTAAAAACTATCCAGCAGATAGAGACCAATGCGCCTACTGTAAAAAAAAAGGTCATTGGGCCCACAATTGCCCGAACAAGCCAAAGGGGCCACGTAATCCCCGGCCTCAAACCACCCTGCTCAACCTCGAAGATTAGGGGGGTCAGGGTCAGGAGCCCCCCCCCCTGAACCCAGGATAACCCTCAACGTGGGGGGCCAACCTGTCACCTTCCTGGTGGATACCGGAGCTCAACACTCAGTGCTCACCACATCTCCAGGACCCCTGTCTGACAGATCAGCGTGGGTCCAGGGGGCTACTGGAGGAAAAAGGTGCCGCTGGACAACCGAAAGAAAGGTACTACTCTCCACCGGTAAAGTGACTCATTCTTTTCTGCATGTACCCGATTGCCCTTACCCGTTGCTTGGGAGAGATTTATTAACCAAGCTCAAAGCGCAGATTCATTTTGAGGGGACTAAAGCCCATATTACGGGGCCACAGGGACAGCCGTTACATGTACTAACCTTAAACCTAGAAGATAAATACCGGCTATATGAGCCTGAGGGGCCTCTGGCCAAGAACATATCTGACTGGTTAAATAACTTCCCATCTGCCTGGGCAGAAACGGGAGAAATGGGGCTGGCCACCCAACAGCCACCCCTAATTATACCCCTCAAAGCAACCGCAACTCCAGTTTCCATCAAACAATACCCTATGTCTCAAGAGGCCTACCGAGGAATTCGGCCCCACATTAAAAGACTCCTAGACCAGGGAATCCTGAGCCCCTGTCAGTCTCCCTGGAATACACCCCTCCTTCCAGTCAAAAAGCCTGGCACGGGCGATTATAGCCCTGTGCAAGATCTAAGAGAGGTCAACAAAAGGGTAAAAGATATACACCCAACAGTCCCTAACCCATACAATTTGCTGACTGGATTACCACCAACCTATGTTTGGTACACGGTCCTGGACCTCAAGGATGCATTCTTTTGTTTAAGGCTTCATCCACAGAGCCAGCCTATTTTTGCCTTCGAGTGGAGGGACCCAGAGTTGGGGCTATCGGGGCAACTCACCTGGACTAGGCTCCCACAGGGGTTCAAAAACAGCCCCACCTTATTTGATGAGGCGTTGCACCGGGATCTGGCCGACTTTAGGGTTCATCACCCTGCCTTAATCCTACTTCAATATGTGGATGATCTCCTCCTGGCTGCAGAGACTGAGAAAAAATATAGAGAGGGAACGAAGGCCCTCCTAGTCACCCTGGGAACTCTAGGGTATCGGGCCTCGGCTAAAAAAGCCCAAATATGTCAAAAACAGGTTACGTACCTAGGCTACCAGATCAGGGATGGACAAAGATGGCTAACAGAAGCACGAAAACAGACAATCCTGAGTATTCCAGTGCCTAAGAGCCCAAGACAGTTGAGAGAGTTCCTGGGGACGGCGGGGTTCTGCCGGATCTGGATCCCAGGGTTCGCAGAGATGGCTGCACCGCTCTACTCACTCACAAAACCAGGTACCCTCTTTACCTGGGGGAATGAGCAACAAGGAGCCTTTACGGCTATCAAAAAGGCCTTATTAACTACCCCCGCACTAGGACTTCCTGACTTAAATAAGCCCTTTGAGCTATTTGTTGATGAAAAGCAAGGCTATGCTAAAGGAGTCTTGACCCAAAGACTGGGACCCTGGAGGCGCCCAATTGCCTACCTGTCTAAGAAACTTGACTCGGTGGCTACAGGATGGCCTCCCTGTTTGAGAATGGTCGCAGCAATTGCTCTCCTAACTAAGGACTCTATTAAGCTAACTATGGGACAACCAATAACAGTTCTGGCTCCTCATGCAGTGGAAGCCCTGGTTAAACAACCTCCAGGTCGATGGCTTTCCAATACCCGTATGACCCACTACCAGGCCCTACTGCTGGACGCTGACCACATACACTTTGGTCCTGTGGTAGCCCTCAACCTGGCGTCATTACTCCCCCTATCGGAGGGTCCAGAAACTCATGACTGTCTCCAGATACTTGCGGAGGTACACGGCACTCGGCCTGACCTAACCGATCAGCCCCTCCCCGATGCTGACTTCACATGGTATGCTGACGGGAGCAGCTTTCTGGACAACGGAGAACGAAGAGCAGGGGCTGCGATCGCCACTGAAACTGAGGTAATTTGGGCTAAGGCCCTACCACCTGGCACCTCGGCACAACGGGCCGAGCTCATTGCCCTGACTCAGGCCCTCCAGATGGCAGAAGGTAAAAAGCTCAACGTTTATACTGATAGCCGCTATGCCTTTGCCACTGCTCATATTCATGGGGAGATATACCGGAGAAGGGGACTATTAACTTCAGAGGGAAGAGAGATCAAAAACAAGACTGAGATATTAGCCTTGCTTGAGACATTGTTCTTGCCTCTAAAGCTGAGCATCATCCACTGTCCGGGTCACCAAAAGGGAAACAGCCCCGAGGCTCGAGGCAACCGCCTGGCAGATGAGGCTGCCAAAAAGATAGCACAACAGAAAGACTTTACAATTTCTCAGACCCTGACCATAAAAAAAATAAAGCGAGGGTCTATTCTTCAATATAGTCAGGAAGACCAAAACTTACTAAAAGAAATGGGGGCCACCTATCAGCCTAAAACTCAAAAGTGGATATTCAAAGAAAAACCAGTGTGGCCCCAACGTATGACCTATTACTTGATTGACCAACTTCATAAGCTAACCCACCTGAGTCACAAAAAGATAAAAACCCTCCTTGAAAGAGAGGAAGACACCCACCATCTGTTGGAAAAGGACAAAATTTTACAACAAGTGGCCGAGAGGTACACTGCATGTGCACGAGTTAATGCTAGACATAATAAGGTGGGTTCCGGGGTCAGAGTGCGAGGGCACCGACCCGGGACTCATTGGGAGATTGACTTCACAGAGGTCAAGCCTGGACTATATGGATATCGCTATTTGCTGGTGTTCATAGACACTTTCTCCGGATGGGTAGAGGCTTACCCTACCAAACATGAAACTGCCAGAGTCGTCACCAAGAAGTTGTTAAAAGAAATCTTCCCCAGGTATGGTATGCCACAGGCGTTGGGCTCCGACAATGGCCCTACATTCGTCTCCCGGGTAAGTAAGTTGGTGGCCACATTACTGGGGATTGATTGAAAATTACACTGTGCATACCGCCCCCAGAGTTCAGGACAGGTAGAGCGCATGAATAAAACTATTAAGGAGACTTTAACTAAATTAACGCTTACAACTGGAGAGAGAGACTGGGTGACCCTCCTTCCCTTGGCGCTGTATCGGGCCCGGAACACTCCTGGCCCTCATGGACTTACCCCCTTTAAAATCCTATATGGTGCCCCTCCCCCAGCTGTTCATTTTCTAGATTCTGATATAGGTGGCTTCGCTAACTCTCCTTCCCTTCAGGCTCATCTGCAGGCGCTCCAAATAGTACAACGGGAGGTGTGGAAACCTCTGGCAGCTGCATACCGAGAACGGCTAAACCAACCTGTGGTACCACACCAATTCCAGATCGGGGACGTGGTCTGGGTGCGACGACATCAGACCAAGAACTTGAAACCGCGCTGGAAGGGACCCTACACTATACTGCTGACGACACCCACAGCCCTGAAGGTAGACGTCATCGCCGCCAGGGTCCACGCCTCCCACGTCAAAGCCGTCGCCCCCGAAGACCAACTCGACAACCCGAACTCAAAAGCCAGATGGAGACTTCACCGCACTCAAAATCCACTAAAGATAAGATTGACTCGTGGGGAGCCTTAATAACCTTGTGTCTCACTTTAAGTCTGGAAATAACCTATGCGTCTCCACATCAGATTTACAACTATACTTGGGTTATTGAGAACCAGGCTGGGGATATAGTCATGACAAGCTCCTCTATTGGGGCCCAGCCCCATTGGCCTGATTTAGAAGTGGATCTCTGTGCCCTCGCCCTTGGAGCAGACACCGACTGGGCAGTTCCCGATATCTTCTGGCCACCTCCTGGGGGCCGAGCACCTGAACGAATTACCCCAGGACGGGCCACCAACCCAAGCTGCGTCAATTCGGTTGGGAGGGCCCTTTTACGGGGTCCCCCTGGCAGTGGGGTATGGGGAATTTATATATGTCCTGGCACCCATAAGAATAGAACTCTCAATCATAAATGTGGGTGGGCAGATCAACATTTTTGTGCTTCATGGGGCTGTAAAACTTCGGGAGACACTTATTGGAAACCCTCCTCTTCCTGGGACTACATTACAGTAAAAAGAAAAACCTGGGAAAGCTGGGGGGGGGCCTGCCCCCCTTAATACGCTCCTCCAAGTGGTCGAGTCAGGGGTATGCAAACCCCAGGAAAAAAACCAAAGGATGGTACAATCCCCTGTTGATTCAATTTACTCCCCAAGCCAAACAACAGATTTGGACGCCTCAGGGTTTCAGATGGGGCCTTAAGGTTTATAAAAATCGAAAAGATATAGGCCTCACTTTTAGAATTAGGCTTCAAAAGACTTTACCGGCTACCAAATCTGTGGGCCCCAACTCAGTCATATCAGATCAAAAGAGGCCTTCTCAACCAAGACCTCCGCCCCTATGGCCAATAACCCCAAATACTTCTGTTTCTTCCCCTGGCCCAACCACCACGGGCCCCACTATGCAAACTTAGAGGCCTGGGTCAGGAGATAGACTCCTTAATCTAGTAACAGGAGCCTTTCAGGTACTAAATCACTCTGATCCCGACAGGACCCAAGAATGTTGGTTATGCCTGGTTTCGACTCCACCCTCTTACGAAGGATTGGCCATAATGGGTGATTTCTCTAACCATACTAGCCCTCCAGTAAACTGCTACCCCTCTGCCCAACATAAACTAACTCTGTCTGAGGTGTCAGGGCAGGGACTTTGTGTCGGAACAATACCTGCTGCTTATCAACAACTTTGTAATTCTACTACCAGTATTGACCCAGGAGATTACTACCTGTCTGGTCCAAATGGCACCTTTTGGGCATGCAATACCGGCCTAACCCCCTGTATATCGGCTATAGGCTGGAATGCTGGTTCTGACTTTTGTGTCCTCATTGAGTTATGGCCTAAAATAGTATATCATGAACCAAACTATGTCTACAGACACTTTGAGGAAAAAATTTGGTATCACAGAGAACCCGTGTCTTTGACTCTGACAATAATGCTGGGAGAACTAACAGTCGGAGGCATTGCCGCCGGAATTGGGACTGGAGCCACCGCTTTAACAGCAACTACTCAATTCCAACAACTACAACAGGCTATACATACCGACTTACAGGCCTTAGAAGAATCAGTAAGTGCTCTAAAAAAATCCTTAACCTCTCTGTCAGAGGTAGTTTTACAGAACAGAAGGGGGCTAGATATCCTCTTCCTACAAGAAGGAGGATTATGTACAGCCCTAAAAGAAGAATGTTGCTTTTATGCTGACCATACAGGCGTAGTTACAGACAATATGGCCAAGCTTAGGGAAAGACTCAGCCAGAGACAAAAACTCTTCACAGAGGGACAGAGCTGGTACGAGAAATGGTTCAATAAAGCCCCCTGGTTTACGACCCTCGTTTCCTCTCTCATGGGCCCCTTAATTATAATCCTCTTGATCTTGTTATTCGGGCCTTGTATTCTAAATCGGCTGATCCAGTTCATAAAAGACCGGCTCTCTGTCATACAAGTGTTGGTGTTAACCCAACAATATCATCAGTTCAAACAACAGGGGATAGAAAATGACGATCCCTAGGCCATAGAATGAAAGATTCCATTCTAAGTTAAAAGAAAATGGGGGAATGAAAGACCCCTGCCTCACCCTAAGTTAAACATAGCTAATGCCATTTTGTGAGACACCACTGTTTTGTAAAACTCTGAAGGCCAGATGAGAAACTGGAAAATTACTGAGAAACCTAGCTGTGTCACCCACTTGGGATATCTGTGGTCAGGCTGCCCCTGTTGAGTTAAAAACAACTTGTTGTGACTACCCTCATGGGATATCTGTCAGAGATTGTTCCAGCTGAGATAGGGAAAAACAAAATAACAGGTGGCCACGTTAAGGGGTGGTCATCATGACCCTTTTGACCACCCAGTTCTGGAATCTTGGTGTCCCTGCCAAACTTTGACGCAAACCGTGGTCTCATGTAAACGTACCAATCCGCCCCCTGTAACCATGCTTCTCGCTTCTGTACCCACGCTTCTGCTCTAAAACCCTATAAAAACCCCAGCTTTCCACCCAGGGGGCGCGCAAAAGTCATCCGAATGACTTTTCGCCCCGGGTACCCGAGTATCCAATAAAAGCCTCTTGCTGTTTGCATCCGAATGCCTGGACTCGTTGATCCTTGGGCAGGGGTCTCTCAGACGAAAGATACCCTCCGGGGATCTTTCACTAACCAGTCAAAATGATGTAATGCTGCCCTCCCCTTGCTATCTGGTTGTTACCTAGGTGTGAGGGCTGGGAATTGAAACTGGGTCTTCCTGGAAGAGCAGCCAATAATCTCAGCTAAGCCATCTCTCCATACTACACTATTTTAAGTGCAGTATTGTTTTGCCTGCATGTTTACTTATACATTATCTGTGGGCCTAGTGCCTGAAAAAAACAGAAGAGGGTATTGGAACTGTTGCTGATTATTAATATTTAATTTTGATTTATCTTGTAGTTAAAAGGCATTTATTCCTAAACTGGCTGTATACCCAAATCACCTCACAGACACTAGGATTTATTTAATTAACCTAGAGCACAATGCTGAGCAATATTAACTCCATCCTAAACCTCCAAGTCCTCCCACTGAGATTTCCAACATTTTACTTGCTTTTTAGTCATATTGAGAGGTTAAAAAACTTAGAGTTAATTCCTGGGACTTGGGCAAAATCACCATATCACACTCCTTTCAGAGCAGGGTCCAGCAGCAGTCCCCTGCCCAGATAAACCTTAGGGTGTGACTAGGGTCACAGAGCCCCTAAGAAAGTCCATGGAATGTGTTAATTCTCCCTCCCCCTTGCTACAGCATAAGCTGCACATAACAGGGCAGTATGGGGTGGGGGTGGGGGGAGGAGGGTCAGGTGTCCCCCATGTAGTCAGACTTGCAGTTTTGGCACCTAGAAAGAAGTCAATCATTTTAAAGGTCAGCTCCCCTAGAGACCCTTTCACCCGATCCTGTAATGCCAAGACTTGCACTTCCCTGCTTGTGTTTTGTCCCCTTAAAAATCCTGTTCCCCTGGAGTTGGGGGTCGTTTGCCCCTTTGTCTTTGTAAAGGGCAGCCACCCAGCTCGAGTTTGTAATAAAAGACCCTCGTGTGTTTTACATCAGACTCAAAGCCTGTCAGTCATTTGGGGACTCACTAGCGATCTGGGTATTTCAGTATCTTAGGTCTAGTTCATCTCTCCTGGTGTTTCTAGGTCCTCTCCTCTTAGCTCTTTTCTCTGACCCTCTCCCACTCATTTCTCTCTCCTCCCCTCCAGACCAGGATGTCCCACCTTATTCTCTCAATTGCTCAGCATTGGCTGATTGTTTTATTGACAATACAGAGAACAAATGGTGGCATGTTTAAACAAACTTGAGACAGGTGATGCTTAGAATAAACATAACAATGCAATGTCCGGATTGAAATCAGATAGTGGGGTAGAGAAATCAGCATTTGAATGAACAAGGATAAATTGTATACATTCCACAAGAACATTATACCAGTATGGAGCCCTTGGAACTGGAGTGACAGACTTAGTTTTTAAACTGGGACTTTAAAAATTGGAATGTTTTATATTATAACAATGATATCAATGTGAGATCTTGGGGAAAAGCAAGAAACAAAAGGTTATTATTTAATAGTGTTGCACTGGTGTGTCAAGTAGACAAGGGTCAATTGTATTGGTTGTTTTTGCAAACTTGACACAAACCTAGACATATTTTATTTTTTCCTTGAGGCAGGGTTTAAAAATTAAGTCTGTTGGGACTAGAGAGATAACTCAGTAGTTAAGAGCACTAACTGCTGTCCCAGAGAACAAAGGTCTGATTCCTCACATCCACATGGCAGCTTACAGTCATCTGTCACTCCACACTGTAGGATCAGATCAGACAGATTCGAACAGATCACATCCTCCTCATTAAGAACCCTGGAAACCAACCAAACCACCAAGTGACTTCACAGCAAACTCTTCAGGGAAAATTGTTCAGAGATGATGGAGAATGTCTCCTAAATTAAAATCACAGAGGGGTGGCCTGGTATGGTGTGAGGGGGCCTTCTGGCACCTTGCTGCCCCCAGAATTCTTGACATTTGGTTTAATGACAATAGCGCATTCCTGGCTGACCTGGGGCTTGCAATAAAGGTCATCTTCCTGAACCTTAAACTCTCCCCCCATCTTGGGGCTTCCTGAGTAACACTTCTGAGGAACTTTCCAAACAATCGTTATTAACACAACTTGTGACTCGTTTGTTGGGTCGTCCTGTGATACACCGTTATTAGCACATCTTGTGACCCCTCTGGTGAGTCATCCTGTGATTTCTAGTCACTTAGTAACCCTGCCAAAGGCAATTACATTCCTTTTGCCCTGCCTATATAAACGACGTAGAAAAAATAAACGAAGACCTTGATTAGAGAAACTGTCTTGGTCTTCATTTCTCTTGTCTCTTGTCCCACCCCCTTCTTACCCCCTCTCTTAGGGTCTTGTTCGACTGACCTGTGGGCTGGGTCAGTATAGTGGTGCACACCTTTCATCTCAGCACTCAGGAGGCAGAGGCAGGTGGATCTCTGTGAGTTTGAGGTCAGCCTGGTCTATACAGTGAGTTTCAGAACAGCTATATTTACATGATGAAACCCTGACCAAAAAGCAAACAAAACACCAAAAAAACAAAAATCCAAAACAAACAAAACACCCCAAACAATAAAACAAACAAAGCCAAAACCAAATCAAACCAACCAACCAACCAAACAAACAAACAAACAAACAAAAACCACACAGGATATGGTAGTATACACCTGTAATCCCATCACTTGGGTGACTGCAGCAGGAGGATCATGAAATTGAGGACAGCCTGGGCTTGAAAGACAACAAAGCCAGGTGTGATGGTGCATGCCTTTAACTCCAGCACTCAGGGATCACTGTGAGTCTGAGGCCAGCCTGGTCTACAAAAGGAGTCCAGGATAGCCAAGGCTACAGAGAGACTGTGTCTTGGGGTGGGGGGTGGGGGACAAAAAGAAAGACAACAAGAATGAAGTCACTTTTGTCATATAAAAGTACTTCAAGATTTCCAAAAGAGACGGAGACCAGTGGTTCTCTGTGAGTTCGAGGCTAGCCATGGGTACAGAGTGAAAGCCTCTCTAGAATACATAGTAAGAAAAGGTTATGGAGAGATGGTTTTCATGGATGGTTAGCTGGCCCTAACAATGGCTTTTAATTTCAGTTCTTAGTTATATTCTGTTTATTATATTAAACCTTGTTTTAGGAGTAGTTATATTTCAGAAATATTTGAGATCTTTAAGAGAAGTTGTAGCCATCATGGCAGGAGAAAAGATATAATAATAATTTAAAATGTTTATTTTTATTTACATGTATGAGTGAATCAGCATGTGTTATGCTTGATTCACGAGACCCCAAAAGACCGCCAGGAGTCGAGTCCACTGTAAAACACATGAGGATCTTTTTATTACAAACTAGAGCTTGGGCTCACACCCTCACTGACACAGCGATTGATTGATAATAGAGCCTGGGGAGCTCAAGGTAGGTGGGTGGGTTAAAGGTCCCAGTCCCTCCTAGAGTGCTCAAAGCAGGGGAATTCCTGCCTGGCAAGCATCTGTTGGTTGAAACACAAAAGGGGATGTTGCGTTTTAAACTGATTGGATGTAGGAAGGCCCCCAAACCATTAACTGTCTGTCTTTCCTTGTTTGGCCGTCCTGGGGGAGGGGGCTATCTGGGCTGGTTTCCTAGCAACTGTATCTCTAGTGGGCAGGAAAAGAATGCAGTAAGGCTGGTTCCTCCCTGCTGGTGGCTGGCCATGTCTCCACCTGCCTGGCCTTTGTTCAGGCTTTTGCTTTAACTTTATTTCAATAACCCAAAAAACTAATTTTTAATTCTTTGGTCTCTCAATGTGTGGGTGATTAAGAAGTCCAGAAGCAGGAATTGCATCCTCAAGAGCTGGATTTACACAAAGTTGAGAGCCATCAGATGTGAACCAAACCTGAGTCCCCTATAAGAGCAGAAAATGCTGACCAGCTCTCTAGTCTTCTCAGCCTGCCCCCTTTTTCGTCAGTCCATGACTGTGGCCCAGGTAAAGATGCTGCCCATATTTAGGATGGGCTTCCTATGTCACCTTCCCTATTAAGAAATTCCCTTATGTACATGCCAGAGGACTGTTTCTGTTGTCATTCTAGCACCTATCAGGGTGACAAACAAGATTAGTCAAACACCATTGAACGGTACCCACTCTCCTGTTCATTTACTCCATTAGCTTTGCCTGGGGTTTTCTTTTTTTTATAGTTTCACTGCCAGAACTTTTTATTTTTTTAGTAAAACAGGGTGCACGCCTTTAATCCCAGCACTGGGGAGGCACGTGAGGAGGATCTCCTGAACTCAAGGCCAGCCTGGTCTACAGAGTGACACTGAGTTCCAGGACAGCCAGGGCATACATAGAAACCCTGTACCAAGAAGCCAAAACCCAAAATAAAATAAGTTTTAATGATTTAGTGACATGTACGTGTGTGCACTCGTGCTCGAGCGCGCGCGCGCGCGCGCACACACACACACGCACACACACGGGACATACTGCTGGCAGTTATAGGACAACTTCCCGGAGTTGGTTCTCTCCTTTTACCATGTTCAGGCTAAACCTATTAAGTCATTTCTTTGGCCCATACGTTCAACATACTTTTTTTTTTTTTTTTTTTAATTGAAATGTCTGGCTTGTTTGGGATTAAAGATGTGCACACCACTGCCAGAGATTTTAGTTTTTTTAAACTATCAAAAAGTTTTTTTAAAAAATTTATTTAGCTTTATTTTGTGTACACTGGTATTTTGCCTGCACATATGTCTATATGAGAACATCAGATCTTGGAGTTACAGTTGTGAGCTACCATGTGGGTGCTGGGTTTTGAACCCAGGTCCTCTGAAAGAGCAATCAGTGCCCTAAACCGTTGGAAAGATGGGTTGGCCATCTTTCCAACCCCCAGAAAGTTTCATTAAGAGCAAAGAGGAAGTACAAGCTTTAGATACATTACTAAGGGGGGCAGTGGGCCTCTCTGAGTGAGAGAATACTAAGGCACCATAATTTTATTTTATGTTTAGACTTGTTCTTTTATGCAGATCAGTGTTTTGCCTGCATGTATGTGTGTGCACCATGTGGGTACCTGTGGAGATCAGTGGACGCCTGGATCCCAAGACTAGTTACCGAAGGTTGTGAATGGCCATGTAGATGCTGGGCCTTGAATGAACCCGTTCTCTGCAAAAGGAACAAGTGCTGCTAAGCCACTTTTAAGGTTTTAAGTGCATGTGTCTGGAGGTTTGTGCATTTGAAGGAGGTAGTCTCTGAGGCCCAAAGAGGACATTGCATGCTCTGCAACTGGAGTTACAGGTAGTTGTGAGCCACCTGAGGTGGGTGCTGGTAATTAAAGGAGGGTGCTTTATAAGAGCAACACCCTCTTAAGCACTGAGTCATCATTACGAGCCAGCCACCTCATCTGTTTTATGTAACCATGGCTACTGCTGGGTACGGCTCCACCACGGAGGAGCAATTTCGCTTACGTGCAAATCCCCCGGAGCTGGGGTCAGGCCTGGAGTCGGAGACTGGCTTAGGAAGGCGGGGCTATGGCTGTTATTTGAGTGCCACACCTCGCCCCTGGCCGCTGTCACTCATGATTTGCTAGCCAATCAATGTCTGAGAGTGAGTCACCCAATCAGAAGAGCCGATGGGCGGTGAGGGGCGGGTTCTTCTCGGCCGCCATACTGTGGGCTCGGCTCCGCGGCAGAGGGAGGCGCGGTGAGCTGCGCTGGGAGCGCCGCTGCCGGGACCTGTGAGGAGCCCGCGGCTGAGTCCGGAAGCCGCGCCATGGTGAGCGAGGACGGCTATCCCCGCGGGCTGTGGTGCATCCTCCCCGGGGCTGGGGCGGGGCCAGCCGCGGCGTCCGGTGCTGTGCGGCGCCCGGCCGGGGTCCACGCCCGCGCCTGCGCAGAGCCCGAGCAGCGCCGCGGAGGCCCCGCCCTGCCCTGGAAAGCGTCGCTGCACTGTCTGGAGCGGCCGTGTTACCTGGCCCTGCTTTGGGTATCTCATCAGGAGGTTGTAAACTCTAGGTCGTCTAGTTTTTCTGTTAACTTCTAGAAGTTCTGCATTTTTCCTTTAACATTTAGGTCAAACACTCAACTTGAGTTAATACTGTGACATTTTAAAGAAAAATAAGAAAATTATTTTTATTTTATGTAAATTGGTGTATTGCCTGCATGTACTTCTTTGTGAGGGTGTCGGATCCCCTGGAACTGTTGTGAGCTGTTATGTGGGTTCTGGGAATTGAATCCAGCCCCTCTGGAAGTACAGCTAGTGCTCCCAGCCACCAAGCCATCCCTCCAGCCCCAATATTGTGAAAATTTAAAAGTCTGTCCGATTAATTTCTTTGTGTATAGGCACATCGGTTCTGCAGTAACATTTACCATTTTCCCTTTCGTCGAATTTCTTTTGCTTTTTTGTCAAAAAAGGTGTGATACACACACACATTATATATGGCACATTATATAAGTATACCCCGCCTCCTTTAATGTCCTGTTTTTGTTTTGTTTTTTCCTTTGAGACAAAGTCTACCTTTGGGTGGCCGGGCTCTTGCTATGTTGATGAGGCTAACCTCAAACTCATAGAGCTGTGCGTGGCTCTCCCTCCCTAGTTTTAGGATTAAAGCTGTCTGCCACCATGCTTGGCTCATCCAATCCTCCACCTCTTTTTTGAGACAAGTTTTCCCCTTATGTAGCTCTGCTTGTCCTGGAACTCTCTTTGCAGACCAGGCAGACCTTAAACTCACAGAGATCTGCCTGTTTCTGTCTCTGGAGTCCTAATTAAAAGCATACGTGCTTCAGCATTTCAGGCCCTCATCACAAGCATTTTTAAAAAGGCCAATTTCTTTTTTTTTTTTTTTTTTAATTATTTTTTGAAGAGATGGATCAGAGGTTAAGGACACTGGTTGTTCGTTCAAAAGTCCTGAGTTCAATTCTCAGCAACCACACGGTGTCTCATAACCATCTATAGTGAGATCTGGTGCCCTGTTCTGGCACACATGCAGGCAGAATGCTGTATAGCTAATAAATAAATAAATAAAAATTATTTTGCTGAGCAAAATCCCAGCACTTGGGAGGCAGAGGCAGATAGATCTCTGTGAGTTTGAGGCCAGTGTGCTCTACAAAGCGAGTCCAGGACAGCCAGGACTGTCTCAAAAAGTATTTTTTATTTCATGTGTATGTGTATGAGTGTTTTCCCTGCAGTGTGTACCTGGTGCCTATGGAGACCAGAAGGGTGTGCTGGTTCCCATGAAACCAGAGTTACTTTTGGTTCTATGCCATGTGGGTTTTGGGACTCAAACTGGGTGCTGCAAGACCAGCAAATGCTCTTCTTAGCCATTCTCCATCTCCTCTCATCATGTATTTTTCCAATTATTGGCATAATCATATTTTTCTTACTTTTGTTGATTTTTATATTATTTTACATTCTTTTACATATATATTACATAATATTTATATTATATTACATTAAATTTAGCATTTTTTCCTTTAGGGTGCTAGAGATCAAATCCAGGCTTTTGTACATTCAAGCTTGAAGTTTACTCAGCTTCAATTAAAAATTTCTTGTTCTTGTTTATGTGTAGGTATGTGTCTAAGGAGGTCAGAGGGTGTCAGAATTCCTGGGCTACAGCTACGGGTTGTTGTGAGCTTCCTGAGGTGGGTGCTGAGAATCAGCTCAGCTGCTCTTTAAGAACATTCATGCTCTGAGCTGCTGAGCCCCCTCTCCAGCCCTCACAGCTTCAGTTTTAAACATTGACACAGGTTGTTGTTTTCTACTGCATTCTAGTCTGGAGGTCATGGCATTAATACTGCCTCAGATTCCTGAATCTGTTTCTGAGATTGCAGCTGTATGCCGCCATGCCTAGTTTGTGTGTTAGTTTAGAAATAGTTTCATTTTTCGTTTTTTAATGGTTTTGAGAATTTGTTTGCATCTGTCAGTAATTGATTTTTGTTTGTGTGTTTTTCAGCTTTGTGTAAGATAATATAGGTGTTATAGTTTAAGTTAGGAATGTCTGCTTTATTTATTAATTAGTTTATTTTAAGACAGTATCTCACTGTGTAGCTCAGGTTATCCATAAACTCAGCTATCCACCTGCCTCCCCTTCTGAGTGTTGGGATTAAAGTGCCTAGCACTTGTTTATTGTTTTAAGAGTTTGTGTATCTCTTGGTATATTTTTCATTTCTAAAAAAAATTTCATTTCCTCTAATTTACTAAATTTTTGGCTGTGGGATTGCAACATTTGTCCTTTATGTACCTCCCACCCCATAGGCTCATGTGTTTGACCAGCTGGTGGTGGTTTTTTGCAAGGCTATTTAGATTGTGCAGTAATGAAGGTTCTCCTAGACATTGATTTCAAGTCATTTGCCCTCCATTTTTGAGCCACGTATTTATCTTTCTCTGCATTCTTTATATTTCATAATGTTAAAAGTGAACATCCACCTTTAATCTCAGCATTGGGGAGGCAGAAGCAGGTAGACACTGGGATTGAGGCCAGCTATTGCTACACAGTAAGACCTTGTCTCAAAAAGAAAACAGATCATTTGACTGTTGGAATGAGCATCACTGAGAGTCAGTTTCTGTCTTCTTCAGGCTTTGTTGAGGGCTCAGTTTACCATTTGTTTAGTGTTAACAAACTATTTGTTACCAAGCTTCTATCACCTGTGTGTTGGCAATCTGCCTTCAGAGTGCAACTTGTATTTTGTTACTGTTTTTCACAGATTTCTTTGAATGTTAAGAGCTGAAAAATAACACTGAAAAATGCTAGCTGCAAAGGGATTCATGGATGGCTGAGTTAGGAGCCTTCTGTAGCACAGCCAACCTTCACTCTTCTGATCACTTTATGTTCTGCTGAACGCAGCCTAGGGAGAAGTCAGCACTCAAGATAAGGGTCTTCTCAGATATTTCCTGAAAGTGTCTGTTTGACATGCCTTGATACATTATATACCTGTGTGCTTTTGAGGACTCAGTTCCTAAGAGAGAATGTGTTTTAAAATTTGCCTTAGGTGAGACACCCGCTGTTCAGAAGACTGACATTTGCTACACAGCTATTATTCCTCATCAATCTAGAAACATAAACTCACAGAGAAGCCTATGAGATTTGTGGGAGTCAGGAAAAAGTGAATGTTGGTGGTACCCCACTTCTGCCAGCCTTCCTTCGCCCAAGATGAACAGCTCACTCACTGCTTGACAGGCTCTGGCTTGGATTTCTGATATCAGTGATCCTTATGTATCTTCCCGTGAGGTGGTTCCCCGCCACCCCAAAAAGGCCGGTGGGCTGGAGAGATGTCTCAGAACACTGGCTGTTCTTTCAGAGGTCCTGAGTTCAATTCCCAGGAACCACATGGTGGCTGCCAACCACCAGATCTAATAAGATCTGGTGTCCTCTTCTGGCATTTAGGCACACATGTAGGCTGAATAATGTATAAATAAATAAATCTTTAAAAAACATGAGGAAAAAACAAAACAAAAAAAGGACAGGCCATCTTTCTCTTAATTCTGTCATGCTGCAGCGTTACTCAATTAAAATTCAAATATTACCAAAAAAAATTCAAATATTTTGTTTAGAGCTAATGAGGTGGCTCAGGGAGTAGATGCCTCCTGCTGCTAAGTCTAACGTCCTGTGTTCATTCCTCAGGCACGTAGTGGAAGGAGAGAACCCACTCCTACAAGTTGACCTCTGAACTTGTCACACCTTCTCCCCAAATAAGTGAACGTCATCCCCCCTACTTTGTTTTGAGAAAAGGTCTTACTTTGTAGCTGTGATTGGCCTAGAACTCACTGTTGCACTTGGCTGGCCTAACACTCAGAGATCCACTTGTCTTTTCCTGCTGAGTACTGAGATCCAAGGCTGGTGCTACTGTGCCCCATGTAGGAGTTGATTTTTTTTTTCTACATAAAGCATAACTTTTACTATTTTTTTCCAGATATTTTTTTTCATCTGTCCTTATGGAGCCATCTCTTTACTTTTTTTTTTTTTTTTTTTTTTTTTTTGTGGTCGTAGGTCTAAATCATGGGTCTAAATCATGATCAATTCATGACTACCTTGCTTTGAATGGCACCGCTCATGCAGTAGTACAGCTTGAGTAGATGTGGGACACCATCTGCATCTAAGACATTTGTTTTAGAAATGTTTCTTATGACAGTAGTGGCCACTGTATTTGGAATGGGTTCTTTTTTTTTTTTTTTTTTTTTTGAGATAGGGTTTCTTTGTGTAGCCTTGGCTGTCCCAGACTTACTCTGTAGACCAGGCTGGCCTCAAACTCAGAGATTCACCTGCTTCTGCCTCCCTGAGTGCTGGGATTACAGCGTGCACCATTACTGGAATGGTGAACTTCTTAATGCCCTTGCCCTTGGACACTTACTAGGCTCAGTTGGTAAAGTGAGTTGGCTGCGCGTGGCTGAGCTCCCTTTTAGGTTGAGAATGATTTCTTCTTTGGTTGTTGTAGAAGCGTGTAATTAAATTATTTTTTAACGTTACCTTGAGATTTATTTATTGGTTTGTTTTGAGGCAGGGTCTCACTCTGTATTCCTGGCTGTCTTGGAGCGTCTAGTCTTAGGTTGCCCTCCCGCTCATGGAGATCTACCAACCTCTGCCTCTTGAGCTCTGGTATTAAAGGTGTCCCAACATCATGCTGATTGAAGTCTTTAAATAGTGATCATGTAGTATTTGTATTACTTGATTAAATTTGTGTTACAGGGAAAATTGGAGCCCCCTTTGGGGTTCTTTGTCTCATTAATAAAATAATTTCAGAATGCACTCACAGCAGCACAAGGACAGTTGAATCAGTGTCTAAAAGAGGAACTGCAGGGCAGGCAAGCTGCTTGGAGGGAAAGGGAGGCAGCCATGCCATTGAAGCTGGCGTGAGTTCGGATGCATGGTCAACAAACTGCATTGGGGGGGGGAGGGAAGCTTTAGAGAAGGAGTTAAGAGAACACAACATGTTGCGGGGAGGCAGTGAGAGCCCAAGTATGCTTAGAAAAGAGATAAAAGGAGAAAAAATGGCGTTCTGAATAATTCAGAGAAGTAGGCAGACTTAGCACCCTCCATGACTGCACTCGGGTCAGGGATTCTGGGAAGGGAAAGAACAGCGTCTCATTGAAGCAATCTCTTTAGCATGGTTATGGTGAGCCTGCTTTCCTAGGATGGTCCCTTAGCCAAAGTGATTTAATCAGCCAAGCTGGAACCCTAGGTCTCTACTTAGGGCTGAGATACTCTTCTCATGACCAGGAGCTTTTCTACTCTAACATTTGGACCAAAGTAAGTTGTGCTCTGGAATCTTAATGATTTCCTTTTCTGTTAGGACAACAGGGTGGGCTCATTTCCCCATGGAAGTGGTGACAGCATGTGTGAAATAGTGCTTACCAGGAAAACTCATTATATGCATTGTTCATTATCTTTTGAGAGTATGTCTGATCCTCTAGGTTTATCTTCGTTTGTGACCAATGAAGCCGTGATTCATTATGCTGAGTGACTTACTCTCATGAGCTCATGACTTACTCATGAGCTCTCCCTGTTCCCTTGTTCTCTCCACCCGGCAAAGCGTAAACTCTGTGCACATAGATGTCTAAAGACAGAGAGCTCTGTTCTGTGTACAGGTGGCTGGCCTTTCTGTGACATGAATGAGAATTGGGTGGAGCTGCAGCTCCTCCTCAGGCCACTCAATGCCGGTGTTTTTACTTTGCTGTTTCTGTTCAGAGTTGTTCATTGTATGCATTAGGACGTCTCTGTCATGAAATATGTGTGGAGACTGCAGAACTACAGGAATATGTTAGCATCTGAGCATACAGTTGCAGTCCCATCCGTTCTTTCATACACGTGTATGGGATGTTTTAGGATTTGGTGAGCTTCGAGGATGTGGCTGTGCACTTCAGCCTGGAGGAGTGGGCTTTGCTGGATCCTTCCCAGAAGAGCCTGTACAGAGACGTGATGCAGGAGACCTGCAGGAACCTCGCTGCAGTAGGTAAGGGTATCGTTTCTTACCTTTGGTTGAATTAGTTTTCCTGTTAGGAATGGTCTTCTGTGATTTGAGTGTGGAAGAGGAAGAATTTCCTGAATAAGTGACACAGTAGTGGCTGGTGAGAAGTCAAAGGCACTCACTTTGCAAGCCTGGGGGAACCACACGGTGGAGGCTCCACAGTTGTCCTCTTACCTGTGTGTGTGCTCTGTGGCACGCGCGCACACGCGCGCGCACACACACACACACACAGAAAATCTGCTTTTGCAGAGTTTATGTTTTAAGAAAAACAACATGATCACAATGTATATTAAAACTAGAAACTTTTGTTATTTTTTTCAACAACTTTAATATTTTTATGTGTGTGCCTGTTTTTGAATATGTGCACCATAGGCGTGTAGGAGCCCTTGGGAGTCAGAATAGGTCACCAGATTATCTGCAGCTGGAGTTAGAGGTGGCTTTTATCTGCTATGTGGGTTTTGGGAACCAAACCTAGTTCCTCTACAAGAGCAGTAAGCACTCTTAACCCTTGAGCCATAGCTCCAGCCCTTTTTCTTCTACTTAAAAAAAAAATTTTTTTTTAAATTGTGTGCATGTATGTGTGTGGTATGTAGTATGTGCATGTGTGTGAGTACAGGTGCCCATGGAGGGCAGAGGCTTTAGATTCCTCTGGAGCTGGAGGTTCAGATGGATGTCAACTGCCCAGTGTGGGTGACGGGAACCAAAGCTGTGTCTCTGCAAGAGCAGTAAGTGCTCTTACCCGCTGAGCCTTATATCTTTAGCTCCTGGTTTTCAGAAATTCTTGACCTTTTTTTTTTTTTTCCTCAGATAGGGTCTCACTATGTAGATGAGGCTGGCCTTGAACTCACAGAGACCGCCTGTCTCTGCCTTCTGAGTGCTGGGTTTAGAAAGCGTTTACCACCACATCCAGCTTTGTTTTCATTAATTTCTAATAATTTATCATACATTTTGGGGCTGCTTTTTAGGATATATATGGGAAGAACAGAATGTTGAAGATGACTGCAAAACTTTTGGAAGAAATCAAAGGTAATTTGCATGTATAAGTGTAAGTAAATATCTCTTGTAGGAATTTTAATGTGCCATATAAATTTAACAGTGTGCAAAAGAAATTACAACTTGAGTTTATTCATTGTTAGAAATGTCTTACCAAAACTATGTACTCAGTGTAAGAACTCAGTGTATGTACCCAGTGTTTGCAACACATTCCACTTGGACCCGGTATCAGTGTGCGTCACTGTTAGAGTATTGCTTTGTGGGAGGCATTTTAGAGAACCATCAATCTATTTAGTTTCACACCATTCAGATATGGCAGAAAGTAAACACTTTGCCTAATTTTGAGAACAGTGTCTGACCAATCAGTAGGCACTATCTTGGTTGCCTTTTGTTTTTGAGACAGAGTCTCACCATGTAGCTCTGGCTGGCCTGGAACTCACTACGTAGACCAGGCTGGCCTCTAGTTTACAGACATCAGCCTGCTTCTGCCTCTTGAGTACTGGGATTAAAGACATGTACCAGCAAGCCTGGCTATTTGTAATTTTTTTTAACAGAAATTGCATATTGGAAACCATGAGAATGTGGTGTCAGGGTGAGGGTAGTCAGAGAGAGGGTGGGTAGGGTAACAAAAGCCTTAACCCTTATGCCAAACCTCAGTACGAGCAGTACGTTTTCTACCGAAGTTTAGCTCTGTGAATATCATGCTTGTGAAAAGGCTTTCACGTGTCATTCTTCCTTTAATAGGCATATCATTCCTCACTCTGAATATACACCGTTTGAGCAAGAGGAACGTAGGAACAAGCTGTACGATTCCAGTTCTCTCGCAAGTAGTCAGGGACTCCTGGGTGCTCACACTGTGAATGGACCTTGTGAATGTGAGGTATGTTTAAAATCCTTTGGTCTTCCGAGTACCTTTGGAGCATATCACCAAACTCACAGTGGACAAAACTTCTATGACTACAAGGACTGTGGAAAGGCTTCTGTTTATTATAGCTCACTTTACACACATGGAGGAACTCACACTGTAAGAAAATGTTATGAGTGTAACCAGTGTGGTAAAGTTCTGAGTTCTTCCAGTTCCCTTCAAAGGCACGAGAGAATTCACACAGGAGAAAGACCCTATAAATGTAACCAGTGTGGCAAAGCTTTGAGTTCTTCTACTTCACTTCAAAGACACGAGAGAATTCACACAGGAGAAAGACCCTATAAATGTAACCAGTGCGGTAAGGCCTTTAGATGCCACAGTGCCCTTCAGTTACATGAAAGAATTCACACTGGAGAAAAGCCCTATGAGTGTCAGCAGTGTGGGAAGGCCTTCACATGCCACAGTTACCTTCGGTTACATGAGAGGACTCATACTGGAGAGAAACCCTATGAGTGTAAACAGTGCGGGAAAGCCTTCCGATGTCAAACTTCCTATCACAGGCATAAAATTATTCACGGTGGAGAAACATTCTATGAATGTAAACAATGTAGTAGGCTCTTCATTTACCCCTCTTTACTTCAGATGCATGAAAGAACTCACACGAGTGACAGACCATACAAATGTAAAGAGTGCGGTAAGTCATTTCTCTATCCCTCTTTACTCCAAATGCACGAAAGAACTCACACTGGTGAAAAGCCTTATGAGTGTAAACAGTGCGGTACAGCTTTTAGACATCACTCTTCCCTTCGATTGCATGAAAGAACTCATACAGGAGAGAAGCCTTATGAATGTCAACAGTGTGGGAAAGCCTTTACTCGTCACACTTCCCTTCGGTTACATGAAATTACTCACACTGGAGAGAAACCATATAAATGTAAGGAATGTGGTAAAGCCTTTAGACATCACTCTTCCCTTCGATTGCATGGAAGAATTCATAGTGGAGAGAGACCCTATGAATGTAAACAGTGTGATAAAGCCTTTATACGTTACAGTTACCTTCGATTACATGAAAGAACACACACAGGAGAAAAACCTTATGAATGCAAACAATGTGGGAAAGCCTTCAGCCGTCATAGTTCCTTTCAGAGACATAAATCTATTCATGCTGTGGAAACCCCCTATGAATGTCAGCAGTATCTAATTCCTTTATCTCTGTTTCCTCCAAATACATCAGACACCTCATACTGGTGAAAAATGAATATGAACACACCATGAATATAAACAGTGTGTTTAAGTGTTTATCCTTATCCACTTAAAACACATGTAAGAACCGAAGATGTCATGTGATAAAGCCTTATTCACATAAATGATATGATTTAGACTTCAGAGGAATGAAGGAATTCATGCTGGGCACAATTTCTACAATTATGTGGTAAGTCCTGTACTGGCCACTCTTGCTTTCCCAGAAACAGATTAACCATGCTGGGGAAATGCCTTATGAATGGAAACAGTATGGTCATTCTTTTATTCATATTTGCTTCAAACACATGAAAAACTTAAGATACAAAATGCTGTGAATGTCAATAGTGTGCTGAAGCCTTCAGGAGCTGCAAGGTCCTTTTGATAACATAAAAGACATCTTACTGGAGGGAAAAAATCCCCATGATGTTTAGATGTCATCGCTCCCACAGAGTCCATGAATGAACTCCTTTTGGAAACAATGCCTGTGGGTGGAGACAAAGCTGACACCTTCACGCTCATGGCTCCTTTCAGAGACGTACAACGATTGATGGTGAGACAGAGCCTTATACATAGAAAGAATATGGTGAGTTTCTGGATGCCAGGAGATGGACAGACATTTTTGTCAGTAGTGTAGCTACTTGTAAGTTGGCTGTGTTCAATTAGCTCAATTAAAGTCATTGGTTCCCCAGGCGGCACTTCGGTGGAATCATTTCTTTGCTTCTAGCCTTGGTGCCCTATCTAGGGTGAATAGACATTTGTTCACAGAAAATGTTCACACAGCACTTGACGTCTGAATGTGCGGCACAATGGAACCAAAGACGAGTTTGAGAGGAGCACTTGTCATGCCTCTGCTGTGGGTGATGAGACGCGCCACTGAAGGGAAGCTCTCTGTGGCTGAGTGTCTGCAGAGTTAGTTCTGAAACTGCTGTCCTCTCCAGTGTGCCATGGGACGGTGCCTTCTTGTTGAGGTACCAGTCACTGTACTGTGCAACTCCTGTGGAGTATGGAGTGGCTCATTTCTGTGACAAATGAAGTTTGCCACATGAATGTATGGATACAGCCTCATACAGCTGTCGTGTTAAGAGTATATTGCAGTTCCTGTAAGTAGCACAGATGGAAAGGATTAAGTAGGCATCAGCTGCATCTGTGGCCAGTAAGGCTTACCTGTCTGCTAACATGAACTTCCTTCTAATGGAAGAATTGAGGAAAAGATGTGCAGACGCTGCCCAACGTATTGACCTCTGAACTGGATCCCTCTGGGATTCTAAGACTTGAAGCCCATGTAAAGTCGTGAACAGTGAGGATGCTTTATTGGGAGGGTGTGAAGTAGTGGTGATACAACTTACCCCTTAGGCTGGCTTTTAATACACAAGAGTAGGAAATCAGTGGTACAGCATGTAAATGGAGGCCTGAATAGTAACCCAGTAAAGGAAGTTGTTATGATCAGCAAATACTCTGCCTCTGGAGGGCAGGAAAGCTTAAGGAAAACCTCAGTGAAGGAAGATATGATAAAGCAGTGCAGCTGAAAAAGGCTGAGCTTTCCCAGAATAAGTTGTATACTCTCCTACAGGAAAGGATGCTTGTGTGTAGATTGCTTGTTCAGCCCAGGGACCTCTCAGCAGCCAGGGGCATCCACTGAAGAGGCAGCAGTGTGCTACAGCTTGGGTCCAGAGACTGTCAGACCTCCAGAGTCCATGGGGCTGTAGCAGGTGAGCATGTCTAGCTTTCTCCTTGGCCCCCTGTGCCAATTAGAGAACAAGAGTCAGTTCCTTCCTCACCAGGCCTGTCGGAGGTTAAGCTATACAATTAGACCCATGGCTACACTCAGAATGAGGGTGCAGGATGGCTCATGAAGAATGACTAGATGGTCCAGGGTGATCTAAACCTCCCATCTACACCACTGTATCCAATATTGATTTTAATTTATTCTTTGTTTTCTTATGGCAAGTTTTTATGTAGCCCTGTCTGGTCTTAAACTCACTCTGTATAGCTGAGAATGAGCTTGGAAGTGCTGAGCCTCCTGCCTCATTTTCTCAAACACTGCGGTTGTATGCATGGGCCACCCCGTCTGCTCTCCTGTGCTTTGAAATAAACCCAGGCTTCGGCATCCCCTCTCAGCTGTGCTTGCTCTCAGGTCAACATTGAGAAAACACTTGGTACGAGTAACAGTCTTCAAATGCTGTTGGATTTTGTTAATATTTTATTTGCTGTCCCCTTAGCTCTCTGATTCCCAAATTCAGATTGGCACTTGTTTGGGATTGTGGGTTATGGGTTTTCCGTGATCCTGAGATCCCTTTGTGCAAAGGTTTCTCCTCATGCTGACATAATGCTAGCCTATGAGTGTTCCACAGATACAGAAAAGTATCCATGTGAGCCGAGTGGCTGACAACCAGAAAGGAGGTACACGTGTACAGGGCAGGCACATGTGACATTCTTGGGTAATACAGATGACACAAGGTGAATGAGGGAAATCCTTTACAGCCTATGGCTAGCATTAAACATCAAAAAATGAGCTGAAGAGCTTGAATGAAGGCGCCTAGTGTGCATGGGAAAGATACTTTCAGAAGATTGCGTATTTTGTGAAAAAGTAGTCAAGGATGGACCACTTCTCCACGAGGTGTTAGCCACAGATGCCCCTGAAGTCTCTCAAAGAGTATAGGCTATTGCCAATGCTTATGAGGTGTCCCCAGAAACAGATAAAAGGCTTCCTGAAGACAGCACATGCTTTGGTTGCTGACTGGAGAAAACAAACTGAGACTGAGCTGGAAACTTCCTCCTCGCTGGCCAGCATTCATAGGACCTGTAGGTTCAGGCTACTGTGCAGCGCTGCATCTAGACCTGGCATGTTACTAAAATGTCAAGCAAGATGTGCCACTAGGGCTGGGGAGATGGCTCAGCTGTTGAGGGTGCTTGCTGACCAGGCTGGCAACTAGATCTTGAACCTACATGATGGAAGAGAACCAAATCCTGCAAGTTGTCTTCTGCTCTCCCTACTCATGCTGTGGCATGCACCTAATCTCCAGTGTGTAGGTAAATGTAATAAGATCTAGTACTATAGTAGCTTGACTAAATGATAGTGACCAGCTGCTTCCTGGTTGGATCTAAGGCTTACTCTGCAGGGCTCAGTTCACACGTGTAAGAGCCATTCACAACCCAGGACTAGACAGGCCCTAGTGTTTTGCTACATGGATATATTTTTGTGAGATGGCTCTCAAGTTCAGAGTTTATGCCTATAGATTATTGTTTCAGTCATTTTTGGACAGAGAATCTTCTTTTTGCTGTAGGCAGTAGTTACTTATGAAATTTATCACTCCCTCATATGCTTGGCACATTCTAGAAAGGGGAGTGGCATGCACCGGAGGAAGGAATAGCATGTTTTGGAATGCCATTGCCAATCTTTTTGAAATCTCAGTCCTTTAGTGTCAGTGTGGAGGTGTGGGCATGGAGCCCTGCTCCCTTCCCTGATGATTTACTGGCAGTTAATATTCACTACAAGGAGTGAACATGAGACCTCTGCCTCTTCCTGAATATCTTTTTGTTTCGTTTTTTTGAGACGAAATCTTACTACATAGTGCTCACTAACCAAGCTGGACTCACAGAGTTCCACCTGCCTCTGCCTCCTGAGTGCTGAGATTAAAGGCGTGCACCACCGTGCCCAGGCTATATCCCTGAATATCTTTAGGCAGTTAATGGTACTTAGACAGGATGGTCTCACAGGGCCTCTTCATCCTCTGCATATAAAAGCAGGTGATTGTTGCTGGTAGAGGGAGAAATATTTTCTTCAGTGGATTACCTAACCACAAGTTTCCATGTTCTTGTAAGTAACCCTAATTAAAGTAATTGCTTCCTTGTGCTGTGCTGGTGTCAGATCTTTTCCTTGTGTCGTGTGTGGTGCCCTTGTCTGAAATGACCCCAGAAAGAGTTCACACAGCTGTGTTGTAATATGCATTACACTGACAAACTGTCATGTTGCTTACGTTTGTTGAGGGCAGACACTGGGAGGGAGCATACCCTCCCTTTTTAAAGACTCAAACATGTTTGTCTTAAGTTTTCTCCATTACTTCCTATCCTGGTAGGCTAGCCTTTGACAGAGAGAAAATTGTTCAGCAGTACCTCTGGGTATTAAAAAGCATGGTAGCAGCCAGGTCCTGTGCACATGGCTGTAGTCCCAGCACTCAGGGAGGCAGAAGCAGGCAAATCTCTGTGAGTACCAGGGCCAGGCTGGGCTACAAAATAAGTCCAGGACAGCCAAGGCTACAGAGAGAAACCCTGTCTCAGGAAAATCAAACAAACAAACAAAAACCCCAACCAACAACAACAACAAAAAAGCATGATATCATCATAGCATCTTTGTGAACCGAAAGAAGGTGAATTATTTCAAGATTACAGTAGAAATAAAAAGCCAGTCCATGGTGGCCTCAACAATGGTTCCTAGTGTGTTTCTGCTGGATTTTCTTTTTCTTGTTTTTTTTTTTTTTTTTTAATTTTCTTTCTGTGGTTTTTTGAGAGAGGGTTTCCCTGTGTAGCGTTGGCTGTCCTGGATTCGTAGACTAGGACAGCCTCGAACTCACGGAAATCCACTTGCCTCAGCCTCCCATTGTGCTGGGATTACAGGTGTGCACCACCACACCTGACTTCTGCTGGATTTTTTAAGCCTCAGTTGCCTGCCTTCCTTCCTTCCTTCCTTCCTTCCTTCCTTCCTTCCTTCCTTCCTTCCTTCCTTCCT